TTTTCCTATATTGAAAATTGAAACAGTTTGAATGCATTTAATGGATAGTTAAATCCACTTTCTAAATTAAAATGTTAATTTAAATAGTCTTTTGAAACACGATTTTAAATATTGACTCTTTAAAATAGAGAACATCTCCTTTTTAAAAGGTTTCTCGAAGATGCTACGATAATTTCGAAAATTGTGATAAAAATCAGAAAGATCTTTACATTTTTAAAGGGCGGGTGCAGGGAGGGGTGGGTAAAAAGGGACAAGGTAGTTGGGGCAGGGTGCAGGTAAAAAATGAAAATATATAAAGTTAAAAAAACAATAAATGCATCACAGACGTGACATCCTACGTCAGCGATGGAAAGACTGTTCTCCTGCCCACCAAGGACAGGAGAACAGGTCTGATATTATTACTTAGCATCTAATTTATGAAACTTTTTCCCTATTGTTTAAGTTACATGAAATTTGAGACCAAAGTGATACTTTGAGCCATGTTGGATGAAGATTAAAATCGAATTAAAATTAAAAATTTAGTATGTTAATTTTTATTAGACGAGTGAGATTTAATGAGGATTAAATTTTCAATTTTAATTAAATTTTAAGCTATACCAAACGTGCTCTTGATCTACTATTTTGTAATTAATTAACACGGAGTCAAAAATATATATCCACTCATTTGGACTCGGACAATGAGATATTTTTATTTATTTAATATAATATATCCAGTCACTTGGACTCGGACGATGAGATACGTGATATTTTTATTTATTGTTTGTTTGTTAATTCAAATATTCATTAGACAGAATTTTTAATTTTTGCCTCAAATATATTTATTTTTTAATCACTTCAATAATGCTCTTGATATTTAATAAATTACTCAAAATTAGTCAATTCTGGTAAGAAGTAATTGACAAATATATCCTTTCTTGAATTTTCTCGACCTACCCACCCGTTCCCCCCTATAAATCAGACCTTCCCTCAACCTCAAAAACCTCCTCTTCCCTTCCTTTGTTCTGTTTAGATTTAGAATTTCCAATATACTGTTATTGTTCTGTTCCCTGCCTTAATTCTTCAGATTTCTGGGTTCTGAATTTAGATCAGAAATTAACCCGTTTGATGTAGTATAGTCTTGATGCCGCATAATTCGTTATTGATGTTTAACATTCATGTCTCCTGTACTTATTGAAATCCCCCGTTCTGGGTTTATGATCAATTTCTACCTGAGTCGCAGAACCCATCTTGCTCAATCTTTCTCCGTTGCATTCCTCTACTGGTTTTACGTTTTTCAGAAAAAAAGCTTTCGGTCGAGCTTTGAATCTTTGTACTTATAGCTTCTTCTTCTATATATAAATATATAAATAAAGAGCCCTGCAAATTTTAGTTTTTTAGCCAGAATTTTATCAGTAATCCCTTTTGGTGTGAAATATAAGAAAAATGGCTTCTTCGAGTGGAAATTCTTCAGGGTCTAGACAGATTCAGAACTCGGGTTCTGGAGAAGATTTGCAGCAGTTGACGGATCTACGGAAGAGGAAGAAAATGCAATCGAATCGCGAATCGGCGAAGCGATCCCGATTGAGAAAGCAGATGCATTTGGATGATATGATGGCTAAAGCGACTCAGTTGAAGAATGAGAACGACCAGATTCTTACTAGCATAAATGTCACCACACAGCACTACACGAAAGTGGAGGCTGAAAACTCAGTCTTGAGGGCTCAAATGACGGAACTCCGCCAAAGACTGCAATCCCTTGATGAAATCCTTAATTACATCAACTCCAACACCGCCACCGTCGCCGCCACTACGGCGGTGCCAGCCACCAACCGCATGTTACAGGCTGAGGAGTTCGAAGGGTTTTCTGATGGCTTCTTGAATAATCCATGGAATTTAATGAACCTTAGCCAACAGCCCATCACAGCGTCAGCTGATATGTTAGATTATTGATCTTATGGTGGTAGTTTGTTCAAAGTTTCAATGTTGAACAAGGGATCAAAATATTAGTGTTCTTTTTTTTTTTCTTTTGTTTTTTCTTATGAATGAGTTCTATTATCGTCTTTCTATAAAATTGCCATTTGGAATATTCATGTAAATGCCTTTTGAGATATTTTGTATCATTTTTCACTTTGAAAAATCTATCTCAATCAAACTTTTTAAGTAGAACCCAAATGTGTCGAAATCAAGTGACATGAAATGTATTGCCGTCTCAAGGCGCAATTTTGGAGATTTCTATAAAAAAAAACTTGATGGACTCGACTAAATTTTGGAAGAAGATTTCTTCAATGTAAAAATTACAATTCGAGCAATTTTCTATTATTGAGGTAAAGCTCATTGAAGCCTAACGGCAATTTCGAACCAAATTAAAATCTAGCGATCATGGTAAAGTTTAGTGTAGGCGAATAGACTTTGAACACATTTTAAAAGCATTTATTTTAATTTTCTTTATGTGAAGTTGGAATAATTTGATTGAATCTGTGACTTCAAAGACATAATTAAAATATTTTGGTAATTATTTTTGGTTACCAACTTTTTGGTTAAAACAAATTTTTTCTTGGTACGACGGGACATCATGCGTAAGATTTGTTCTGAGGAAGCATTGTAATCATAGTTTGTATTGGTTGAGATTTGATAGTGGTTATGACAAGTGACAAGTGATTATAGAATCAATCGGGCATCAAATTTGTATTTAATATAATTTAATCAATGAAAGTATTTAATTATTAAATATTTCGAATAACACAATCTTTATCAAGATAAGAAAAGATCGCAATCCATTAGGCATTGAGTAGGTGGAGACAACACTTGGAAGTTGGAACAAGTTTGGACATGTTACTTTTTTTTTTTTTTTTGAATAAAAAAAATACTTAATTTTGAAGTACCTTTTACGGTGAGGTTAAAATAAGTTTTTTTTTTTAAAATTTAAATTTCCAACTTTAACCAATTGGAAAAATTTATAAGTCAAATCTTCTATTAATTAAGCAGCCAGACCCCCTATTTTCAGATTTCTCAATTTATCAAATTAAATTATAAGTCTGATTTGATAAATCTTTTCTAAGTTGAAGATTGAATAATTGTATTAGTCTTCAAAAATAATATAAATTACATTATCTATTAAACCATTCTCCTATAGTTCGTCTCACTTTTTTGAGAAATAGTATGTACACGAGTCCTGTATTTCAATTTTCGTTCAAATCTTGTCAAATCCCACCAATAGGTTTTATTGCTAACACTTCATGTGCATCCCTCGAATATTTGAAGTTCTTTAGAATATTGAAGAAGTAGCGAGAAATTTATTAATATTTAAATTCAAAGGTTCAAATATCCCACTCTTTCTTCTTTTGAAATAAAAATATTAATTGGGAAAAATTCATTTCTCCTATTTTATCTTTACTCTATTTCAAAAATAACAAAACAACTTTCACATTTCAAAAATCAGATATTTTAATCTACACACACACACACACACACATATAAAATTAACCCACCCCACCTCCACCTCCACCACCCCTATCGCTCCGGCGACCGCTCCGACGACTGTTCCGATTCCGGTGATTTCTCCGGCGACTATTCTGATTCCGATGACTATTCCGGTGACCGTTCCCGGTGACTGCTCCAATTTCAGGTCACAATCCAGATCACAACTCAGGTCACAGTCCAATTCACAAGTTACAGTCCATGTTACAGCTCAAGTCACAAGTCACAGTTCAAGCCACAACTCAGGTCACAAGTCACAACTCAGAATTTTGTTCATAGTCACTAGTTATTTTCAAATGATCACAGTACAGGTTACAAAATATTTTTGCACATGACTCAGATTAATCTTTAGTCACAAATTGTCGAATTTTAAGGTCATAGTTAATCCATTATGCGGTCACAATTAGTCCATTATGCGGCTCCAATTGGTCACGAAACACGACATAGATTCAAACAATTGTCGCCCGCACCTCACCACACCACCACAAGCACCCCACCATCGATCCCGATCACCACCGTCGCCACAGTCACCACCACCGCCGCCACCTCCGACGACAACGCCACTACCTCAAACAAATCAACAGAAAAACGCCACCGCACCCGACCGCAAAGTACGAATCAAAAACCAAAAAACTCCCAAATTTTCAACCACCAGATAGATTAATGAAGTCCATTGAAAATTTCAACCACCAGATTAATTAATGAACTCCCAAAAGAAACAGTGCTTACAGATGCAAAATTTCATATCGTAAGAAAGAATGCCACGGAGATGGTAGATTAATGAAGTCCACCCACAGTAGATCTGCACGGTTTGGCACCCGAAGCAATCGGTGGTGGTACTGCAGTCGCCGCCAATGAACCTTCGCGACCTGTAGAAGGCGAAAATCTACAACACCGTCGCCTGGCTGACCACAAATGGGCTGGGTCTATGTCGTCATGGTGTAGTACTGCATTCGCCGCCAATGAACTTCGTGATGCTGCTGTAAATTTGGGTAGAGTAGGGTAGGGTAGGGTAGGGTAGGGAGGGGAGGGCGCTGGCAGCTACGAGAGAGATAGGGGGTGGGAGAGAGGAGTTATGCTGAAAGGTGAGAAATTAGGGATTTAAGTTAAGTTGGGTTTGGGGCGGGGCGGGGCGGGGCGGGGCGTATAAATTAATTTTTATAATATTAAATATTTAATTAAATATAAAAAATCTGCATCTACCTATAAAACATCTGATTTTTGAAAATAAAACCGTAAAATCTGATTTTAGAATTTGGATTTTCAAAAGTAGGGAAGGGTGTAATTTTCATTGATTTTCTTATTAGTATTATCTACGTGGGCTACTGCCTAGTGGATTGCAATCCAGTTTTGGAAGAATGGGCCAGCCCCTTAACCCGACCCAGAATCTAACCTGCACTGTGCTAATTCGATCCCAACTATTCTAGTCCCACATCGGCTGAACCCAGTTAATTTCTCCAGTTTATATTGAGATGCGAGGAAGTATGGTTCGTCCCTTCGGGGACATCCGATAAAATTGGAACGATACAGAGAAGATTAGCATGGCCCCTGCGCAAGGATGACACGCACAAATCGAGAAATGGTCCAAATTTTTTTGCAATATTTTCCGTGGTTCCTCTCGTTCCTCTTGTCAGGATTTTGTTCTTTTTATTTTTTTTAGAAAGTCTGATTAGGGTTTCTTTTATGAGCTTTTGGGTGTTCAAATGCATTGATGTGAATGAAATTCCAAAATTTCCAAGCAGAATTATGATTGATGTTATTGGTCATATTACTCAAACCATTTTCCTTTTCCTGGTGCATTGAACAATGTATAATTTGATATCAGTTTTACAGTGAATAAACAAGGAGGCGGAGTTAAGCAGATGGCCTCACAGCCTAGTTGCAGAAGGCCCTTTAAGTTTTCTCGTCAGTGTGGCAAGGTCCTTTAAATTTCTTTTGAAGATTGAGTCGAACAAAAAGCTATTGATTTTTCTAATCATTGCGTAAGTGCAGAATAGTAATGTGGGGGTACTGCAGAACATAGAAACTAATAACATAAACATTTCGTCTTAACTAGACCGAATTTGTATAAATATCGTGGATTTGCTTTTTGATAATTGGGGAGGAGAGGAATTCAATGCAGTGCTTTTTTAGAAACAAGGTAGAGAATTGTTATATGATATTTAACCATTTTAAATCTACTGGTATAGTCCGTCTTAGAAATAAACAAAATATAGAACATGAACACTAATAAATTTAAGAGAAAACGAAATACAATGATTTAATTATTGAAATATCATCATTTGTCATCTTGACTAATTATTCCAGTTGTTTCAATATGATAATCTTACATGAATATACTTGAAGGTTTGACCAAAATATGTTGTGAAATGCAACCCGTATTAAAAGTTGAGAACTTTCAGAGCCACTGTTGCTAGTGTGGTAGGACTTAGTTGATGGTTTATGGAGTCATCGGTAGCACAAGCAGTGAAAATGGATCGTTGGAAGTGGTCGAGGGTTTGCGTTTGGCTGTTTGCTAGTGGTGAAGTTGGGAGATTGAAATGGAGTGCTAGTGGTGACCGTGATGGACTGGAAGGAGTTGATGTTTTCAGTGATGGTGACGATGGATTGGAGGTTGTAATGTGGTTTAAAGTTGATTTGTGGGAGTTGTGAATTTACTTTTTTTGCCCAAAAGAAATTGCAGATTTGTGGGAGAGGTTTGCATGGTGAAAGTCATAGGAGAAAGTCGGAATGGTGTGATGGCTCTTTGTTGAAGAGAATCCGGTTGATGCCAGCCATCAAGAGGCAACGTAAAGGAGAAAGGTGAATATAAATGGAGAAGCAGGAAGCACCAGCACAAGCAGCGGCAGCAGCAACCCCGGGAGATGGAGAAAGAAGAATGTTGTGCAAAAGGTATGAATTCCCCACCTACCTTGGACACTCTGCTAATTCTTCAGCTGGATTTGATAAACATCCTAGAGGCAAGATTTTTTTTAGTTTGGTTGACAATTTGAAAGACAACACCAAATTTCTTGGTATTGAGTCTTATAGTTTGTTTTTATATTCTAACAATTGGAACTCAAAACCACTAACTGGGGGCTAAGCCAAGTTAAATGGGCTTTTTGAGTGTCTTTGAAATGGGATATTGATAGATCAGCAAAGATAATGCCAGTAGTATCTAAGATTACAGACAAGATGGAAAGCATCTGACCATATGATCAATTCACAACCAACTTAAATATAAGCATTTGACTTGCGGAAAGACAAACTGAAACCACACATTAAGTCATATTGCACACTTTATCTAGAGATGCCGAATAAATGTTCAGTTCACTAGATGACAATTCTTCCTTATTTCACCTTTTGAACCAGTAAGAGGACTGATGTTCCCCATTTTGACCATAGATTTTACAAATTGGTGGAAGAAAAGAGCTTCATCTTCCGCATAGCTTTTCACCAACTCCATGGTTTGGCGAATGTTTCCAGTCAGCAGAACTTCATCGGAATTGAGAAGCCCTTTGCCCCATAAAATGAGCTTGAAATATGTGTTATCAAATTTAACTGGGGATGCAAAATCAAGTGGTGAAATATTATTATCTCCACCAACTTTAGGGCAGATTTTTTGTAAGCCATTGTAGTACGTTTTCTCTAAAGTTGCATCAGGTTGGTTGTTCCCATTTTGATTGTATAGCCTTTGTCTGAATGTCACGCATCTTGCCACCCCAATTGTATGGCCTCCTATAATTTAACTCGAGATAGAATTGTTAAATAAACAGATTATTAGCAGATCATATACGTACACAGTTTTTCATCTTTTTGCATCTTTTCACACTACCCAATAATGGATCTTTTTCCTGATTATTTAGTAAATCTGATAACCAAGGCATAGTGATATATGAACAAAATTCTCTTACCCGAAAGAGCGACAAGATCTTCAATATCCAGACTTTGACGCTTGAATTTTGTTATGAGGGTTTTGATGGTGGAATTTGGAGCAGGAATATCAGTGTTTGATCTACTGAGACTTGCTGCTTTTGAGTCCCTTCTTCCTAATGGCACTTCCCAATGCGGTCCACCACTCTGTAGCATGGTCATCATCACCGTAAGTTTAAATCAATTGAATTTTGATGTTCGCCTAATTAAGGTGTGGAAGATATGATCGAAAATGTTTCAAGTAATTTTCTTCGTGCAGTTTTAATTGATAACAGGTGATACTGATCTTTTCTCGGTAGGTAGCAGTAAGCTTGTTATGATTTTAATGAACTCGAAGATTATTTTGAAATGCCTTACTAATACGACGGAATCCCGAGCAGCAAGGGTGATAATGTCTGCACATGAAACTGTGTGAGGGCATACTATTTCCAGTTTAGCCTTGATCTCATCAATCACTTCAAATCCCCTTATTGAATTCTTGTTTGGTCCAGAATTCTTTTCACTAACTATTGTAGCACTATCATCCAGCAGGATTGAAGCATCACAACCCTATAAGAATTCAACAGTAGCAGATAACATAATCTAAATTAGTAGTGTGATAAAGTAAATACTTAAATTCAACTAAAATTACTCTGCATATTAAATCTTGATCAAGCTACCTGCACAAAGCAATCATGAAAGTGGAGTCTCAGTAAAGAGGCAGCCATTCTGGGATCTTCTGCTATGGCCTTCTCTAATACAGACATTATAATCTCATTAGCTCGTGGGCATGAAAAGTCGTAGAATTCTGGTGTGAGCCCCGAGTAGCCTCCCCCACCCCAACCATAACCCGAACCTGGAAAAGCGTCTAACAGAGAGCTAGACAGAAAAGAAACTGCTATGAGACAGCTAAGCACCTTGAGAGAAGCCATGAACAACTTAAAAAGGTACTAAAACTCTCTTTCTTCTTCGGAGACTGCTTTATGAAATTCCTATGAAGCATTCTGTATATATATGCACACACACATATCTATATAGAGGGAGAAAAGGAGAGCTCATGTGATCAAATCAACTGCTCTTCTACCAAATCCTCCTACTTCCACTACATGCCTCTTATGGCTAAGTGCTAACCATGACCCCTTCAACTTGTAGTATATGCTCCTTTATGGAAATGGATTTTAAAGAAAGGAGTTCGAAATTTGGGACAGTGTTTCTGGTTTTAGTTTCACCTGCTCCATGAACATAAACAGAAATTCCCATTTGTCATCTACTTGATCAGTTACCACATTTGACAATTTGCTTTAGTTTTTCTTACATTTATTGCCAAAGTTAACGGACTAAAACAGACAAATAATGCTATAATTAGGGGTGCTAAACAAAGTTCAAGATGAACATGCTGACCAGTAGTTGAACACAAAAATTCCTTTAGTTATAAAGGGGAATTAATTATTATTCTTTTTTCCAGCGATTATCTCAAGAGTAATGTCCCTGTATTTTTACCTTGAAAAAGAAAAGATGAGTATTTAAAAAGAAAATAATTTATATTAAGAACATCGAGTGGTAGTATCGATGGATCAAGATTGTACGGGTAGATTGGATAGTATGTCATACGAAGTAAATAGTGAGCATGGATGAATATGGTTGTCGAGTTAATTTTCTTTGCCATGGATGTGATGATATTCACATTTGTTCGTAGACTTTGTCATCAAAATAGACATTCCTTTTGTTAGCGAGTCTATATTTCTCCAAATTCTATCTTTGATCCAACATTAAAGCATCTCTACTGTAATAGTGAATTATTTAAAATTTGTGTCACGTGAGCACAAGTAGATGGTATTAGAAATAATGATATCATGTGAAATATCATGGCTCAATAACATTACGTAGAACACGAAGAATTGAGGATCTCCAACCGAAAAGCAGAGGAAGTTCGATACATTAACTCAATATCCATGTCAATGCCATTCTCAATAGTTGTCAATAAAATAACTTCAATATTCATTTTATCCGTAAATTTGTTGAGGATGAAACTTAATTTATTGTTATTCTTCTACAAATATTTATTATTATTTCACACTTTGTTAGAACTACCTCTGAGGCACATAAATATTCTTTTAAACTGGCCAACTTGCACCCAATGTCAATTTAAATTTAAAATATATAATCAACGTAACTATATTCGATGTTCTTATAAAATAAAAAGAAAATTTCTGCCAAAAAAAAATTGAAATAAAAATAAAATATACATGGGCTTCTACCTAATGTGTTGCAAGCCAGTTTAGTACGAACGGGCCAGCACAAATTTCTAGCTTAAAACTTTAACCCGACCCAAAAGTCTAACTTGTACTGTGCTAATTCAATCCCAACTATTCTAGTCCCACATCGACGGAACTCAGATACTTTTTCCAGTTTATATTGAGATGCGAGGAAACATATGTTGTCCCTTCGGGGACATCCGATAAAATTGGAACGATACAGAGAAGATTAGCATGGCCCCTGCGCAAGGATGACACGCACAAATCGAGAAATGGTCCAAATTTTTTTCACAATATTGCCTGAAAATCTTCCTTCTTGGTTTTTTGCGATCGAATGATGTTATTTTCGGTGGGTTCCACCAATTAGGGTTTCTTTTATGAGCTTCTGGGTGTTGGATTCATTGCCATTTGTTTTATTCTGAAATTCTAATTTCTCTAAGAAATATTATTGCTCAATTCAATTTTTTTTTTCTTCGATGTTTTACGTCAAGGGTTTTATTGTTCAACCAATTTCATTTTCCTGGTGAATTGAACAATGTATAATTTGATATTATTGTCACAGTGAATACATAAGGGGTGGACTCATGGCTCATGTTAGCAGCAGCCTAATTGCAGGAATCCCTCTTCCGGCGAGTCAACACCAGACATCCGAAATCTTTTTCGTGATTCAATTCCTTTAAATTGCTTTTGAAGATTGTCCCCAGAAGCTATTGCGTGTTTTAGCCAATGTGTACGTAGTAATATGAGCTATAGCGAGTAATGAGTAATGTAGAACATAGAAACTAGTATCATGGTTTTTCTTAGGATTTCAAGTATAATTTTATTGGGATCTTAGGATGAAGGATCTTAGGATGAAAGCCTAATATGAATCGAAAAACATTAGCAGAAATGAATTTTGATTTGGTTGTGGGGATGAATTTTCTGATTGATGGGTAAAAATGAATTCTTGGATACAAGTATGTTTGTGTTGACTTGATTCCTCTTCATTCTATTGATACTTATTTCCAGAGTGAAATTACAAAGCCAATCCTTCAAGATTTCGTCAATGCATGTAACTTTGGATTGCCCACTTTCTCTAAAGTTTATTATGATCCATCTAACCGCCTCTGCTCATAGGCTTAAACAGTCTCAAATGATTCTCGCACAATTTATCCTTACCTTATCCAACTCATGAATATATTCACTTCTTAATCTCTATTCTCGCCTTACGACTTATCTACCTTAACATTCTCATCTTGATTCAACTGAATTTATATTTGTAGGTTTTGACCAGATGCCATTGACAAATGCAGCCATACATTAAGTTGGGAATTTTCAGAGCCACCGTTGCTAGTGCAGTAAGAATTAGGTGATGGTTTTCATTGGTAGTGCTAGTAGTGGAAATAGGAGATTGGAAAGGGTTGGAGCCTGGAAATAGAGGAGGAGATTTGTGTTTACTAATTGTGACATTAGGAGATTGGAAGGAAGACAACCATGGAAAACTGCAAATTTGGAAGGGGTTGATGTTGGCCGTGATGGTGGATGGGAGGTTGTGAAGATGGGTTAGAGTTAGATGTGGGTGTGGTGGTGATTCCGACGGCATCTGGTGATGGTAGAGGTGATAGATTCATTTAATATTGTTTTATTTAACCCGGAAGGAAATTGCAGATTACGGGGAGAGGTTTGCATGATGAAAGGCCAACGAGTGGGAAAGGTGGCGAAGACTCTTCATTGAAAAGAATCGAGTTGATGCCAGCCATCATCGGGCGAAGTAAAGAAGTGGTAAAATAGACAGAAAAAAGAAGAGAGGGACGCTACAGCACAAGTGGCATCAGCAAACTTGTGGGGGGTGGGTGTGTTGAAGACCGAAGGATTTTGTGCAAATGCAATTTAATGCATATGAATCCTCCGCCCACCTGGGACATTGTGCTAGCTGGAAGAACATTTAAAGATAAGGTTTTGAGCTAGATTGAAAATTTGAAAGCCGACACCAAATTTATTTGGATTAATGCATAGTTTGGTGTTGTGTTGTGACAATTAGAACTTAAAACTACTCATTAACAGGGGGATAGATCATTACTTCCAATAAGTTGAATCAACCATCCTAACAGAAAGTTAAATGGGCTTCTCAACTGCCTTTGAAATTGGCTGCATTTAGATCAGCAAAGATTATCGCCAACAGTATCTAAGATTACAAACAAGATGGAAAAGCTTCCAACTATTTGACACCCTACTTAATACAAATTTACTTGCAGAAAGACAAACCGAAACCACACATCTAGAGATACTGAATAAATTTACAATAGGGCCGATTTTTTTGTAAGCCACTGCGTTACGAGGGTTTGGATTCTGGGATTTGGAGCAGGAATATATCAGTGTTTGATCGACTTAGACTTGCTGTTTTTGAGTCTCTTCTTCCTCATGGCACTTCCTAATGTGGTCTACCATTCATTATCATGTTCATCCTTACTGTAAGTTTCATGTAAAAATCAATTGAATTTTGATCTTGACCTTAATTAAGGCGTGGAAGATATGATTGAAAATGTTTCGAGTAATTTTCTTTGTGCAGCTTTAAATGATCGAAGGGAATTCATTTTTCATTTTTTTTCCATGAAAATAGCTGTGTCCGATTTCTATGATTTTGTACAAACTTGAAGGTTATTTTGAGTTTCTTACTTATATGATGGAATCCCCAACAGATCTGCACATGAAACTGTCTGAGGGCATACTGCTTCGAGTTTAGCTTTGATCTCGTCAATCACTTAAAATCCCTTTATGGAATTCTTGTTTGGTCCAGAATTTTTTTATCAACTATTGTTTCACTATCATCTTGGCTCTAGCAGGATTGATGCATCACAGTTCTATAAACATAATTCAGCAGTAGTAGATAACATAATCTGAATTAGTAATATGAAAGTAAACACTTTAGTTGTACTAAAATAATTAGTTTTATCTTAATTAATAGCTTATACTTTTGTCTTATTAAAAGAAATTCAGCAGCACTCCTAGTATTCGAAATGATATATAGTTGTCTCACTCTGTAAGTCCATTTTTTGTTTCTTAATCCTTAAATCTTTTAATATATAGTGTATACTTATCAGTTTTAACTCGGGACAAGAAATTATGTTGAAATAAGCGAATGTACAGGATGAATTCTGTATGTGCGCGCAGAAGATTGGAATGAAGGTGTGGCCTCTAGATGGTGAATGATGCATGGAGCATCCATACTAATGAAGGTCTCGTTGGAGACGGAGTAGTGTGTGATCTTCTTCGTTGATAAAAGATGGATGTAAGAAATGATCGCTTTAAGGGGCCATGATATGTGGTGCTTTCTTTGAAGGGGGGTCGGAAATTGTGTTACTTCATCCAATAGGTTATCCTTCTGAAATGGAATTCAAAACCTAAAGAAACAAATTCATTGTCACGTTGATTTGCTATTAAAGTTGGTTTTGTTTAGAGCATGTTTGGATAATCTCAAAAGGGAAAAAAACTTAATCTTGAAACTATCACTTGCAATGCAATCAACTTGTAATAATCCCTTAATGATCAGAATACAGATAGCAACAAAATCATGTAGTTCATTTGGTTAAGGATGAAGAAGAAAAATTTAGCTCAAGTCCTCTGCAGAATCCCCAACTCCTTCCCTTGTGGTGGAACTGCTTGTCAATACTTGATCTGATTCTGTTGAAGACTCTGCAAATTCTTCTTTATACATTTCTTCAATCATAGGCTTCCATAGTCGAACTCGAGCATTTATGAACCAGTTGGAAACCTGAAACAATCGTTCAAGACATGCATACATAGAAATAAGAATAGTCGAAACCAATGGAAATCGTTTGAAGAGGAAAAATAAGTACTTGGTTCTTTGTCAAGCCTGTCTGTGATGCCAACATAAGCTTTTCCGAGTCACTAGGATAACTGAGAAACAAAACAAAAAAAAACCCTTTAACCGGTGTCGTTTGGGAAGAAATCTTGAAATTAATCGAACAATAGAGCACATGCACATACGGATGCAGGAAGTGTTCAAAGAGCCAAGCACGAAGAATTGTCACAGAAGTCTCGGGTAGTCCTCTGATCGGTCTAAACATTTGTCGTGATGTTTGGATGATTCCGAGCTGTTGAAGTGACGTTCGATTATGTCTTGCTTCTTGATCAGACAAGCTTAGTTCAGACAAACCCGAGCTAATTCTCGGCATGTCTTTGGTGATCTGTCTTCGTGTCCCCCGAATTTGAAATAAAATTGCATTCCTTAAGCTGCAAAAGTGTTTGGACATGGCATGGAGTGCAAGAGCAGTGTAAGTTCTTCCTGCTTCTGAACCTGCTATAATCTCAAATGATGCAACTGTTTTCTCCATGTGATGATAATAATCCTCGTATCGTCTTTCCACCTGAAAAGTAGACATCAATCGAAAACAATAAGCAGACAGGGACAAAAGCTGTCAAATTAGAGTAATCCGAGGTTTAAATGTAAGAATCAACCTCCTCAAGCAAGGCAATAAGCTTTACGAGGTTGAGATAAGTTTCATGTTTTTCCATCAACAGTTCATTGTTCGATAACTCTGCTTTGAGTTCAAAGGAGAGTCCAAAAGAGCCTTCCTTGCAGCCACGAGATAATTTCTCGACGTATTTCTGGTTGCTCAAATCCATGTCCTTTCCTCCAACACTAACCATTTCTTCCAGAAGGGATTGAGCTGGCTTCAAATATTTTGAGCTCCCAACTGCAGCAGCAAATGATTCAGTTCCATACGATGTCGAACAAGATTGATTTATCGGAGAAAAGGCATTTCCGGTGAAAGAAAAATCATTAGCCATTCTATCATGTCCCATGTTACAAGATTCTCTTGCTGCTTCTCCAGATATCATGTAACCAGGACTAATAAAATTTGATGAATTTAATGATCTTTGCCTGGAATGTTCTGAACCTAGAGATAGAGATAGCCTCTGTGCTTGCTGGGAAACCTCAGTCGACGGTCCAAGAAGATCGATTAGTCGTCTATCCCGGTCGATACGAGCTTCATCTGCTAGTTGAGGGGAATGAACAAAGTCTGTAGATCTAGACATTCTTTCATCAAAAGAATGAATATTTGGCAACAAACCTAGAGACTGGGGGTAAGGACCATTTCCAATTGAATCTACTGAATAAGGATCAAAATGTTGATTTCGAAACTCGTTTTGACTAGCTATGGAGTTTGAGATAATGAATTGGTGTAGAATATTTGAATTGGAATTTGAGGGCGAATCTTGTGAAACCATAGTACAACTCTGAAGTAAAATCACTGAAAAAATATTTTTCTCAAGATCGGATCTTGATCAGAAAGCAAACCAGAAGTACAGTGTGCAGAGTAAAAGAAAATGGAAATAAGAAGGAAAATGGTTTTTATTATAGTAAATTTGGAATGGAATTAACAATAATAAAGACTTCAGTTTCATACTACAAACAGAAGATTTCTGAAATGCAAGTACAAATGAATGGTAAAAATCTTGAATTGCTATCAGAAAGTAAAAGCATTCTTATGAAAATGATGGATGCAAGCAGAAATTTTCGAATTTGCAAAATCTGTACAGTGAGGTCAGAGGTAAAGGAGATGAGGTACATAAAGAAGAGAAGATGAATGACAAACTCCTAAATGCAAGTTTGGTAGGTAATACTCGTAGATAATTTCTAGTGGAGTGTTGATATGAGTATGGATTGGAAAGAACGCCGACGGTGAAATCAATTTGTTGGACATATACTGACATCGAGAGACGAAAGTTAGAAATGATTGCACAGTTTAACGAAGAAGATTTTAGGTTTTTTTTTTGACTTTAATGAATATCAAAACATAATTAAATCAGTTACAGATTTCGGCAATTAGCATATGAAACTAGAAAGCAACAATATATAAGTGCAAATGTAGAAGCAAACATGCCTCTAACTTGATAATAGTTCATTCAAGAAGGAAAGCAAAGATTCTCTCTCTGTATGCCTCCTCTTTTTCTGATGTATAGTATAGGGTACCCTAATGTCAGCATACTGAGAGCTATAAAAGCTACATGTACAGAGCTCTGCAAACATCTTTAAACAAGCAAAGCTATTAACCAAGTGAAAATGCTGAAAATGATATGGTAAAAATGGTCCCCAGACCTACCCCACCCCATCCCACCCCATTCTTCCATGAGTACAAAACAACAAGCTAAGGCATCAAGATTTCAGCTTTAATGCCTGCTATTACATTTCTTCGGGCCACTAAAAAAGCACTTTCACTTCAAACTTCTCTCTCTAACTATTCACAAGGCAGAAAGAAGCCAATATGATATATTGTTTTCTAGCTGAGTAAGGGTTTTCTGCCATCAAGGAAAAAGCAATGAAAAGTAGAGTGTCTTTTGCACACTCCTAGTTTTAAGATTGTCTGATTGAGAATCCATAAACATATGGGAATATCTAGCCTTTTTCGTATTAGCTGTTGTTATCATCCTGGAAGACAAGAATGTGATGATTAAAATTAATTTCTCATGCTTGTTACTAATGGTGTCGTGGGTTATTACCTATTTGAGAATGTTACCACTTATCATATTGCGGAAGTCCCCAAATTAGGTTATAAGCAAAATATAAAAGTTAGCACGAGCACTTGTGAGTTAATGTAGTTCGATACTCGATATCACAGACCGCCGTGCGGCCCTCAAGGCTCCACACCTTGGGGCAGCCTTCTCCCCTTGCTTATGCCGGCAAGCCCAAAACAACCTACGCACGCACGTTTATGAGTGATGTTTCACAGTACCTTCATATAATGATATCATTAGTGTACTATTCGGTAATATAGTCATACATCTAGCTGTTGACGTCATTGCCATGTCAGATGAGGAGAGAAGCACGCTCAATGCGTGACACTTGACCTATGTTCACAAGCACGAGCACGAGCACGAATCACGAGCTCCACTAAACAAAAGGGGAGAATTCGAAAGAGACTAGTTATGATTACCATTTGTCCCTTCCAGTACTAGCATTTTTTTTATTTTTTTTTTTATTTTTTTTTCTGTAGATTTTGATGGTCAATAAAACTCCAAGGCCTATTCACTGATTAAAGTGTCTGAACAATCTAAACAGCCTATAGAAAGCATTTCTGGGTCATCCAGAATCCTTTGATAAGATTCATTTTCAACCACAAGAATCAAACAAAATGAAACCACGAAAGGAAAGGAAATGAAACAGTTCGGTAACAAAGGAAGCTAAAGGTTACATACCAAAATCACATTTTCAACATAGATCATCCTGTTTTGCTAAAGGTTACATACCAAAATTCCTCTTTCTTTGTAAAATTCCGAATGAAAAAAATGCAACTTTGTTCCTATAGGAAGTGCCACATTGATTGCCAGTTTTCGACCTACCCTTATTTTTCATGTATTGCTATGTGATTTTTATGTCCTAACATTCAAAGATCTCTATCAGATTGAATTTAATTTTCTTAAGCTTTTGTTTTTTAATTAATTTCAAATAATTATATATTTTTTTATTTTTAGGAAAAGCCCAGATTAAGTCTCAAAAATTCTCTCTTTACGTGAGACAACACTCAAAAACGAAGCAAAAGAAGTTGGAACAAGTGGATGCTAGTATGCTGCACCGTCAATGTCTGAACACGACTATCAACAAACTAGAATATCAACGTTAACGAAAATATCTATTGAATGATCATTTAATTTAAAAGTTTAAATTGATAAATTTGAGAAATTTCATTTTTAAGAGCTTGTTTGTTCCACATTTTTGCTCCATTTGTAGAAAAAAATGCAATGTTGCCAATCAAATCAGCCACTATCTTGATTTTTTTATCTCACACAAATTCAATTTTTTTTTGAAAATAACGGTCATAATTTTTATACTTTTGGCCAAATAATTTGAGCCAAACATAGGTTAAGTGAAGAATATATCGACTTTGAAGATTGATATATTAGAATATTACTAGTGAATTAGACCTAAAAAAGATTAGGACCTTAGAGATTTTTTTCTTAATGTTCGTATATATGTTATCACAAATCACATCATCTAAGAAAATTTAAGATCATTATAATTTTCGTAAAATAAGAAGCATGTATGAGTCTTAGATAAACCTAATACGCTCATTTGTCCTTTAGATCGTTTTGGCAAACATTATTTGTAAAATTAAGAGAATTGTATTAAAGTGAATTAACGAGTCCTATTCGCATGTTCACGCTACAACGTGTTTTTTAAATAAGAAAAATCGAACATTTTAAGATGAATAAATTTCACATTTTATTTGCACATAGAATCACATTAATGTTTATTCAGTCTAAAGAAAGCATGGTTATAAAAAGTTGAAGGATAATTCTAAAACGATAAAATTGGGGGTTGCTAGCTATAATTATTTTGGTTCAATTTCTTAATTCTTAGAAGTCGAAGGATAATTCTCAAACAAGTGTTCCATGAACTTTACATACTATACAATGGAATATCAGAACAAGTGCATCGTGCTTAATTCTGGACTTCTTGATTATTTCTGCACAAAAAATAGAGACCATATGCAAAACATTATAACGGGCCAAAGCATCTCAGCCCGTGTCTCATGTTGTGGGTGACCTTTTTATCATGTCACAAAATCTGATAAGAGGTGGGGATTGGCAAATCTGTGCTGTTGATTTACAGGATCTATGTACCGGTGTTCCAGTTTGTCGAGAACCATTGAAGAAGCTGTAGCCTCATCTTCGCTTGGTTGCATTCCACCAGATATTGGTTGGGGATTTTTCTCACAATGCTGCAACCCCAGTGCAAGCGACACTTGATTTCCTATTGTATTACTTGGCATGGAAACGTCATGTCTATCACCAGCAACTCCACAACCAGTCTTCTCGAGTGATACTGTCTCATCGGAGAAAATCCTAAGTTCATTGTCTTGATAAGGACCAGCCTGGTACCTCAAATTTGCTTCATGTAAATTCCATTCTGAACTTGAAATAACGTCAGGCCTGAACTCCCTGGAATGAGTCAGGTGATTGCCATTTACAGACGCAGACAATAAGCTTCCCTGAAGTTGTTCCTCTCTATCATCATAAAAAGACTTCTCCTGTGCTACCGTTGCATGTTCTGGCGAAGTCTTAGGTTCTGCTTCTGCTTCTGCATCCCCGAACTCCTCCTTGTACATATCCTCAATCATGGGTTTCCAAAGACGTACTCGTGCATTGATAAACCAGTTCGCAACCTGATCCAGCGTGAAATTTATGCTTCCACTATAACAATTAATTTCGAGGCACCAGTTTAATTAATGAGATTGTGTTTACACTATTGCGTGTAAACAATGCGAAGGAACGTGCTAGATGAAGTCTATTGAACAGTTTTAGTTATCAAAGATCAAGGTTCAGTTATTGAACATATGAATAGATACCTGGCTTCTAGTCAATCCTGTCTGCTTTGCAAGGATGATTTTTTCCGAGTCTTTAGGGTAACTGTGGAATAACCAAAACTTAGTAGTCAGAACATTGTTATATATTAATAGGTGTGGTGCCAATGAGAAGATAAATAACATACGGGTGAAGAAAATGTTCAAAAAGCCAAGAACGAAGGACAGAAACAGCATTTTCCGGCAAGCCTCTTTGTGGTCTCCAAGGTTGTCCAGTTATACCAAACTGCTGAAGTGCCTTTTGTTGCCTAAGTTGCTGATCCACAAAGCGGAGACGAGATAACACTCCTTGACCACGTGAAGTAACATCTTGCTCACCCAACGTTCTTTGAGTAACTTGAATTTGCCTCTTGATTGCATCATGCAAGGAGCGGAACTGGCGGGAAATTGTGCGACGGGCAAGTGTCGTGTATGGTTGGGCAGCCCCACGCCCTGCCACCATTTCGAAGGATGATACCACAATTTGCATCTGATGGTGATAATGTTTGTACCTTGTATCTACCTACAGCCAAACAGTATCAACCCTTTAACAACTGGTTCGAAAATACGCATAAAGTAAGCAGGATAAAAATCTGTAAACTCTAAATCAAGTATATTTAATGGGACTTAGACCTGAAATAGAAGGAGAATTAAGGCGATAAACATTTCATTATTGAAGGAATATACAGAACCTCC